CAAGCTCCCTCCCTCCCCCCCCGCCCCAGGGTCAGGCTCAGCCATGCACCAGGTTTGGGGTCGGGGAGAACGCAAATTTTTCCTTTGCCCCCAGGTGCATCACCCCCTCCCTACGTCTCTGCCCACCCATTCCTGGGTGACTGGCGGCAGGTCGGGACCAGGGCTGGCAGGGCTTCATGGTGGCTCCCCGTGCCAGAGAGCAGATTGCGTGGGGACTGCTGCTGCCCCAGGGTGGCGTCCCATCTCCTCCCCCCGATTACCCCAAAAATTTCCCCACATGACCATGTGGCTTGAAGGCGCTCCAGCTTCCCGGCACCGGTGCTCAGCACCGCAGCCTGACGCCCCCTCGCCTTTGCAAAGGGCCGCGGCCACGTGGATCCCAGACAGCTGGCTGCAGCCGGCGTCGGAGCTCCCTTCCCTTCCCTCGGGAACAGCCAGGCCGCCGGTTCAGGGCTTGCCAGCGAGTCCAGGCGGACATCCGCCCGGCGCCCTTCGGGGAGGGGGGATCTGCAGCAGTGTCGGCTGTCCTGGGCCAGACTTGGGCCGGGCGAGGGGCCAGTTCTGGCATGGCAGGAAGCAGGGTCCCCGGTTGATCTAGGGGGTAAGGCTTGGAGCAGTGGCGTGATCTGGCGTGGCAGGAGGGGTAAGCGGGGGAGAAACCTGCAGGGGGTTGGGTCAGATGTGCAGGCAGAGGGCCAGGCTGTGCCGCCAGCAGCCCCTCCAGCATGATGCTCTGAGACCTATAGCGGCCACCACCTGCCCCACTCCCCGGGGGAGAGCCTCGCCTGGGCTAGGTCCATTGTGCTCAGCCACGGACTCAATGCTGGTATTTCCCAACAGCCAGTACCCCACACCTGCACACCAAGGGGGGTTGTTTCCTCTGCCTCCGGCCCAACTCTGGGACTCTGACCCCTGCACGAGGTTTCAGCCACCCTGCCTCAGCTCTGAGGGGCTAGTATCAGCTCCTCAAAGGCAGAGCTTGTCTAGTGGTTAGAGCAGAGAGGCTGGGAGCTAGAGCCCTTGGGTTCTTTTCCCTGCTCTGGGAGAGGAGTGGCGTGTGTGGTTAGAGCTGGGAGCCAGGATTTCCTGAGTTCTACCCATGGCTGTGGGAGGGGAGTGGGGCCTAGTGGTTAGAGTGGGGAGGGGCTGGGAGTCAGGACTCCAGTGTTCTGGACCTAATTCATGGAGGGAGCATAGGGCTGAAATTGGAAGAAATGATGGAATTCAGGACTTGGCAACTGACTTGCTATATGGCCCTGGAAAATGACTTTCCCCTCTGTGTGCCTCAGTTACCCAATCTATATAATGAGACTAACAGGATTAAGGCTGCAGCTGGCCCAGTGGGTAGGGCATTGGACTGGGAGGCAGGACACCCAGGATGTGTTCCCAGGGCTATGACACTTTGCACAACCTACGGCAAATCACTTCCCCTTCTCTGTGCCTCAGTTTCCCCCTCTGCTGAAGAGAGATTAAAAGCCCCGCCAGGCTGGGAAGGGGCTGATCCTGGCAGTCCCACTGTGACTGCCAGACTGAAGGGCAAAGATTCCTTGTCCTCATGAGATGAGGCTGAACCAAGGCCAATGCGCCTTAAGACAAAGATTGCAGGAAGTTTAGAGAGGAAACGAAAATTTCCCCAGTATCTGACCCACTCTGCCAGCTGTTCTTTGTGTCTTCAGGGAGCAGCTCACGATCCGAAGCAAGTCAGCCCGTCAGCTGACAAGGGCGGGCCCCAGCGACGGTTCCTCAAGGAAGTTTCAATAAGTTTATCTCGCCCGGGTGCTGCCTCGCTGGGGGGTTGCCGTCCTTCATGCCCAAGCCTGCTCCAGGGGAGCCTGCATGAGCGGCAAGAACCAGCGGGCGAGAGCCGGGGACGCGGTGAGTGGCGTACGGGCTGGCGAGGGGGCGTGTTTGAGCATCCCGTCCCACCGGGACTGAACGCGGGCTGTTTGCGGGGCACGGGGCCGGGGGGGGCCCGTCGGTTTCCGTTCGGTTTCTGCCGTAACATGTTGGGACAGGCAGCAGCTCTGAGTCAGCGGGGATGGACTCGGGGCACGGTTAGAGATCTGGCTGGGACACGGGGCTGGCTCCTGGCAGTGGTTAGTGCTGCGACGGGGCCGGGTGTCTCACTCACTTCCTTCCTCGCCCAGGCGCTCCTGCCCTTCCTCCTCCCCCCACACACCTGGGAGAGCCGGGCAGGGAGAGAAGGATGCGGGGGAGAGGGAAGGATGCCGGTGGAGGGAAGCCTGGGCACGACTAAGCATGGTACAGGGAGGGAGCAGGGAGTCAAGACTCCGGGGTTTTGGTCCTGCGTGTGGGCAGGGAAGCATGCCTAGTGGTTAGAGCGGGGAGCTTGGGCGCCGGGATCCCAGCCCTAAGAGAGGCGTGGGGCCATGGGGGTTAGAGCAGGGGGCTGGGAGTGAGGATTCCTGGGAAGATTTAACCATTTCCAGACGGGGTGGCTTTGCCCATAGGGGAAGAAGCTGCCTTCAAGACCAGGGCAGCTCTGCCAGAAGAGGGGGCGGGGGATGCCTAGTGGTTAGAGCGGGGAGCTTGGGCGCCGGGATCCCAGCCCTAAGAGAGGCGTGGGGCCATGGGGGTTAGAGCAGGGGGCTGGGAGTGAGGATTCCTGGGAAGATTTAACCATTTCCAGACGGGGTGGCTTTGCCCATAGGGGAAGAAGCTGCCTTCAAGACCAGGGCAGCTCTGCCAGAAGAGGGGGCGGGGGGGGCCCCCG